CAAGGCATGCATGTACCTGTGCTAGCCTTGCCAAAAGATACAAGGCAAGCGTTCTCCGCCTGTTGGAATCATCTAATGCTAATATAGCCAGACCTGCCACTGAACCTGCTAAAATTCTGCCCATCATCCCCTTTAGACAAGTCAAATATATCGGATAGGATATCAAGCATCAAAAGCTTCTCAAAGCAACAGCAACGAAACGTAAGTCAAAACTTTTAAGTTCAGCATTCTACACTTACGCATTTAGGGGTGTCTCTTTTCTCCTCAGCTTTCTCAGCAAGCATCTCAGAGCATGATAGGAACCAGTAAATCCCCCAAAGAGCAAACCAATTCGACATGCTTCCTCTCTTACAATTAGATCTTTTTCGGAGACAAGTTGCTGCAGAAACACAAGGATTGTAAAATGCACAGAACAAAAAAATGAACCCTCTCATGTATTCATAGATGAGACCACTGACGGGCGGATGGACAAACAGATGAACAGACAGAAATCCGCATACATGTACTCTGAAATTGTTTTATCCTCCTTCCAGAAAATCTTCTTTTACTTCTTCGCTCAGGATCTTGCGAGTTGTGCATTTGGGGTGGGGGAGGAGGTAGTTCAAAGATCTGAATAACCTCCATTCAGCATTTATGCCCCAGTGTAATTGCTAAATTATTTCACTAAACTTCCTGAGGTTAGAAACTACAAGAAAACTTATCAAGAGGCCCCTTCAACCTTCCAATGCTTATCAATCACAGTAATTTATACAACAACCCAGTGTAATCCCACAAGTGGGGAATCACAGTAATTTATAGAGTTTTAAAAAAAATAAACCCCTGAATTAAGAATAATCTGCAGCATGAAATATTAGACCAACTTGAAATATGTTTTCTCCTAAAACAATTGTTGTGGGCAGCGCACAAAGTGTACTCGATCGGTAAATATATTTCACCACTAAAGAGTAAATTAATTGACATTGAGCTACAAGCACAAGGAACATACATTGGGACAAAGGTAAAATTGGGTTTAAAGAGTGATCGGAAGAAAACCCCACATGATTCACCATTGACAGAAAGAGCAGGTGACCTTTATCCTAAAAAGATAAAAAGAGAAAGGGAGGGGGGAGGGTAAGCAAAACCTGCGGGCACACATGTATGTGTGCCACACGAGCACGCACACAGAAAGTAAATCGTTTTACTCTTTAATCTTTGATTGACTAAATATCCTTAAGGCCAAGCGTTTTGCTAAACCCACATGTCCCAGTAGCTGATGAAACACAACACATAACTGCCAGAACAAAGTCATAAACCACTTGGAGAATAATCATCTACTATGGTACTCTTGGTCACTAAAGAACCAACATATCCTGTCTCGGAATTGATAACCATTCTATCAATATATCAATCAATCAACTAAGGCTCAATCCAGAAATATCGAGGAATTCATAACCATTCTATCTATTCAGACCTGGAGTCAATATTCCTCAAGTGCTGAAATAAATTAAAAAAAACATATAGAACGCAAAGCTAAGTAGGACGTGGATGCTTATAGGCCGAAATGCCCTTCCTCTCCATGAACTATATCATGTATTTCCCAAAATTATTTCATTCAAATTTCATAAAAACTTAAGCAATTTCAGAAATAAAATATAAAACCTAAAACAAATTTCATCAGAATAGAAGCAATTTCAGAAATGTAACACAGTTGAGATCAGTAAAAGGCAAAATGAAAGAAAAACCAAAGAATCATCAATCAAACAATTGATAAAATTAATCTAACGTACGTATTTGAGAAATGCAGAAGTAGACAGATAAATAAACAGAGTTTCAGAATTTATAGAACCTTGAGATCAAGTAGGGAGGAATAGGATTGGCCGCGAGCCAGCTTAAAAGCGCGGAGGAGAATTCCGATGCCAACGCGCACACCGTAAGAGAGAAGAAAACTTTGGCAAACGTTGCCGATAGCGTTGGCAACACAGGATTCGTCGGCATGGTCACAGGGCGGGTATAAACCCCGGGCACGACGTTGCCGGCGCTGAAGCTCTTCAATTGCCTCTCTCAAGCGTTCCTCCGCCTCACGAAGACGGCGCTCGGCGGAGACACCACTGTCACTGGAGTCGTTAGGTAACTGCGGCGGGGAAGAAGAGGACAGAGGATGCATTTTACGGAGAGGGCGATTGATGAGGGTTCTCGCATCTAGAGAAAGAAACGAGTTGATTTCCGCTACTTTTTTCTCTTCGAAAGGTGTGCAGCTATTGAACAATTTTATATTGATGATGTAATAATTCGAATTATTGTAATCTCTTTGTCCCATTTTAGGTTAGGACTAATGTGTTTGTTTTGGTCATAAAATGTAAGAAATTAAAATCGTCCACTATAAGAATTCTTACTTTATTTTTAGGCTAAGCTCATATCATTACCATGCTACTCTCAGTGGACCATTGTGCTTGTACTCTATATTCAATGAGTATTAATATTTTGCAAAACTCACATAAATATTGCTCTCTCTCTTCTAATTCATGTGAACCTATTTACTTTTTGGTTTGTTTCAAAAAGAATGATCTCTTTTTAAATTTGGCAACAATTTAGCTTAAACTTACAATTCTACTCTTAAAGAGAAACTTTTATAACCACACAAATACTCTGGGCACCTTTTTGACTTGTTTAGAACCACAAATTCCAAAAGTTTTCATTTTTTCTTAAATTTCATGTCCAGTCACACAGGTTCACATAAATTGCAACGGATGGAGTATATAAAAATATGTTTGAGTTATAAATAAAAATGTAAATTCCTGAAAATGATAAGGATCGATCCTAAAGTTAACTCAATAAAGGAAGAAACTGAAAATAGAAGTNTAATAATTCTTCAAGAGACAGCATGAGGGAGAAGATAGGTTGAGCTTTTAACTACTCTAAGCATCCCAAAAAGTAATATTCCCTTGTACTAGATCTTTTCCTTTCTTTTCTATCAATGAATACATATAGTTTGGACTGGAATGAGATATCTTTTAATTAGTTGGATAAGGTGGTTAGTGTTATGAAATAAAAGCAATGCAGTAAAATGTAAACAAGAAGAGATAGAGAGAATGGAGAAGTGTTTTCTTCTTTCACTTTGGTATAATTTTTCATTGCAATTATATGGCCTTTTATAAGCATAAAAAGTAAAGATGATGGACATAAAATAGGAAATTTAATCTTTAAGTTATTCACAACATGGGCATCCAATGTAGCATCCAATGTAGTATCCAATGTA